TCGGGATTTTAGAGGCCGTATGTAGCCTAAACCCACCCCCCGTATTCCACCAGTGACTTTTGCCAAATGTAAATATACTTTGCAAGTGTTGGGACAAGCTGCGCTACCGCCCGACGCGCACACAAGCTGTTGGCACCATCTTTGGAGCCTTCTCGCCTTCAAAAGCTCGCCAAGCAGCGAGCACCACAGAGAGAGAGAGACGATGACAAGAAAGCTCCTAAGATCTCCCTGGCCTGACACTCCGCTTGCGCAGAAACCCTGCCACCAATGCAGAAATCGCTGCAATCTCTTCGAATCTCCAAAGGGCACCCGACGGCGACGGAGTGCTCCAAGCATGCGAGGGGAAAGGCTGCACTGGCAGTGGGGCCAGTTGGGCGGCCCGATGGGTGCAGCCGAGGCTAGCCATTCTCAGCACGCCTCAACTGGTCTCTGAGCCCAAATTGCATTGACGTGCCAACTCGAGATGCATTTCGATCAGTCTGTCTCTCAACAACAGCGGCTGCATTCAGGCTTGCCGGCAAGCAGGCTGCCGTCACCCGTGCCACAAAAGAAGATGAAGGTTCAAGCAAACTAACTAACCTTTTGAAGGTAGTAATGCTCGTGTATGACTCTGAAAGCGCACAGCTTGCCGACTGACAACCTTTTTCTCGATCTGCTGAGTCTTGGCGATGCACGCAACCAAGTCTTTGACGTTGGAGGAGCTTCACTGGACCCGAACGCATCGACTTCTCTGCGAGATGGCCTTCTGATGGCAGTGCAAAGGTCATGGGCGCTTTTTCAGGGCCTCACAGCCATGGTGGAAGATGCTACCACGCGGAGACGGCGGTGACCTCAATCATTCTCACCATGCCAGCCACGCTCCCATGAGCAGTGTTACACCACACTGTTTCAACGCTTCAACCTCATTGGTCTGCACGGAACCTGTTCCCAAGTGTGGCACCGTGGTCACAGACTTGCTTCGGCGGTCACGGCCACGCTCGGGTGCCAGCGCCCGCGAGGCCTGCGCATCCAAATGTGTGCGAAGTGTTTCTGCACTCTGAGCGGGACAGCAAAGACCGCAACAAAGTGTGGAGAGCAAAGCCTGGGACCGCTCTCTTGGCAGCAGCGGCCTGGCACAAGATGTGTGAACCCCGCATGGGTGCCCCATGGTGCCCCGCTCTGCGAGCAGGCGCGTTCCCCAAGCGCGGTGCGTCGGGAAGACGGAGTTGGGCGAATGGACGGCAGAGGTGGGCGCAGTGGCAAGACCTTGAGCAGGCGCGGAAGATACGGACAGCATGTGCCGGCGGACCTTGTTCTGGCCTGTTGAGATAACACGAGGGACAATCTTGTGCCTGCGTCCTGAACATGAACTTTGTCGGCAAGCACTTGTCTGACAAACCGACAGAAGCTGTCCTCTTTTTCGGCGCTCAGGTGGTGCGGAAGCCGAGCGACGAGGCTGCGGGTCCTTGGGCGCAGTTCGACGTAGTACTTCCAGTGGACATCCGATGCCCGAGTTGATGTGCAACTGCAATCCTAAAGCACCTGGCCTTGGGCACAAGCCTGTGCGGATGGATGGGCGCTTTTTATCTGCGTCATGTCAGCTCCGATGCGTTACCATTCTCCCCTTACATAGCAGCTAGCGCCACCACTCCGATCGCAGGGCAACTGCTGCTGCATCCAGGATCGCATCCTCAGTGGAACCACCAGTAGACCCATAGCCGAAGCCGCACTTGCAGATGCCAACCAAAAACACATGCATTTCGTATTTAAGCACGAATGACGTGCCTTTGCCAAGGGTCCAAAGCATGTTCAGTTTCGACTGGGCTCGGCAGGCACGAGGAAAATGCTACTTCTGCTGCAACTTGCCCACCCAGGAGGGAGACATGGACCAATCCCTCCTTGCCGATGCCTGCGATGGTACCAGACAAAGCAGGTTTCCCTTCTGAGAGGCTTTCGCATGCACCTGTCAGGGACAGGTACAAAGGCTACCCAAAGCACATCTACTGCCGTTGCCATCACCCTGTCATGTCGCCTCTGTTGACGATGCCGCGCAGCATGCTCCGAGACGCAAGCCATGCCGCCGAAAAACTTGCAGGCCGGTGTGGCTCCCCGTGCAGAACGGGAGAGGCAATCCCTAATGGGACGGCTTGTCCCAACAGCCTGTTGTGAACAGCCCCGGCTAAAGCAACCAGCTCAACCACGTCCCGTCCTTCCAGATTTCGAAGAACAGCTTCACCGTGACAGAGAAAGCGCTGAGAATCCCTGTAGACACGAAGCCTCAATAACCACCACGTTATCTCATCGGCAAGTCCGAGAAGCATGGCACTCTGCACGAGCAGTATCTCTAGTTGAGCACCCCTTGGCAACAGATCATCTGAGTCATCACCATCCGCGTCCTCGAAACTCAGTGGGCGCAGATCTTCGGCAAATTCCACCACGGAAACCTCGAGTTCCCTCCGAGTTTCTCGAGACCTCTCTTTCTCCCGCTGGAAATATCCTGCCACCACCTCGCCAGCGTAACTTGCACCCCCGAAGTTCGCCGCTTCCTCCTGCCAGGCTCGGGCCGCTTCCGAGAAGGGGCCCGGAGTCAGAACCGCGTGGATGGACTCTCGGAGCTTCCAGCTCTTCCCCTTGCCCAAGATACGCCCACTCGGCAGAGATACTCCGAACTTCATCGACTCCACGATCTGAGCGTTGAGGGGCTGGTCACCAAATATCGGAAGCACGACCACGGGCTTGCCAAACTGGATCGCATCCACAAGCGAACCCCAGCCTCCGTGAATTAACGCAGCGCAGCATGCAGGGTGTGCGAGAATCGAAGCCTGCGGCAGCCACTGGGACAAGAAAAAATCCTCACTTGCCGTAACGGAGCTGGGAAGCTGCACTTGCCAATCTTCCGGCAAAGACCATATGACTCGGAACGTGCCCGGTGCGGAATCGGAAAGTGCCTCGCACAGCTCTGCCAATTCCACTGCGCTCAAGCATGTTAACGATCCCAGGTATACATACAACACAGGAAGGCCTGCAGAAGCAAGAAATGCCTCCACATCCTTTGGTAGAGCTTCCGGGGCACTGGCGAGGATGCCCACACAGGTGATCTGACCACCAAGAGGTTCAGGGCTGTTGCGGACCATGTTCGGAAGGCCGTGAACGAAAATCCGAGTTTCATGCAGCATGTTCCGAATGACACTCTGTGTGCTCGCATAGTTTTCCGACTCCGATGCCTTCCCTTCGGCACAAAACTCCGCTTGAAAAGTTGAACCAGGCATTGACACACAGTATCGACCCCCGCAGTCACGAATACTGTTCGCAAAGCCGAAGCTGAGCCAGTCCAGTACGAAGTCTTTCACCCCTAACCCCATGAGGCGCTGTACTTGCACCTCTGCCAATGCTTCAACTGCCAAGTTCGCCTCCAAAACGGGCTCTTGGCCTGGCTCCTGGAGCTGAAATGCGAGCCGACGCTCGGCGTCCAGCCCAAGCCCGTCCTCGATCTCTACCACAGTCAGCCTCTCGACTTCCTGACCGAGAGAACGCAGGCGTCGGGCCCCCAGGCTGGTGGTCATGAAGAAAACACGGCACCGCGGTTCAAGGGCCAAGGCCAAGCGGGCCATGGGCAGCAGGTGCCCCACCCAGGGCATGACGCAACAGCAAACTCGGAGGGGCGACGTCGGCGACACACTGTGGACCTCGGATTCCTTCCCAATGTCCTGCTCCAAAATACATTGGGAGCAGTTGCAGCCAAAGCCTCGGGTTGAAGATAAGAACATTTGCCGGAGGCGACGTTGGAGCAGGATGTACCTTTTAGCAAAACAGGCCGCTGCAAGTCTTAGACAGGCATCCCCTCAATTTGATGCAGACCAGGGGCTGTCTTGGGGCATAGGAGATCTCAATGCGGGATCCACGTGAGATGGCCTTCAGGCTCACTATATGCCCAGAGTTGGAGCAATGGTAGAAGAAGGCGTTCGGGCGGCAGGAGTGCGCGCAGTAGCAAAGGGTGCGGAAAAGGGCAGAGCCCCCATTCCAAAATGGGAATGCATTGGTCCAGAAGATTTTCCTTGCCAGCGAAGTAACTGTACTTTTAGCACCAAGTCCGAGTGGAACCACGCGGCAATGCCTACATCCTACATCGGGACATGACATATAGCATGAATACAGATAGGGGACAGCACGCAGTGCAGTTCCATCTTGCGCATCCGTGGGCAGAAACCAGATTCCGACAAGAGAGCAGCGAGTTTTCGAACAAGGCAGGCCGCCACCCCAGCTTCCATCGTGTCATCCAACTCCAGGACTGCACGTTTGACGTCGGGCTCAGAGCGAGCGTACGCCTGCAGCAAGCCAAGCAGTCGGCTGATTGCAGCAGCATCGACTTTCACGCGTGACCATGGCTGGCCTTCCTCTGCTTCAATGGCCAAGTCTGCATTGTCTGCATATGCCATGTCTGCTTCAGCTGCATCTGCTGCCAGCAGGGGGGCTTCCATCACGATTTCTTCCCCTGACTCTATGTCGCGACCGGCCATAAGGCATCGTCCCAGCCCCTCCACGTACTCGACGAAGCAGGCAGCCATGCGGCTGGAATCTACCAGCCAAGGCGCGCAAGCATCCACCACATCCTACACTAGTGTCCAACTTCTTGAGAACCCTGGGGCAACGTGGCTGCACACATCAGCACGTACTGCAACTGTTAGCTGCGAATCGTCGCGGTTATCTCCGTATATCCACAAGTTCACAAACCCATCTGTATGCATTGAGGCAAGAACCAGCACTGCACATGAATCTCGAGCTGAGGTCCTGAGCAGCCATAGTGTGATGCCCGGCCAGTCCCACAAACAAGCGGCTTGACAGCTCTCACAGGGACAAACGCTGCTGGGCCCATACGCTCGAGGGTTGTACTCCCTCTGCTATCGGCACTGCACTCGACAAAAGGTCACTACCGTCCAACCGCCCACATAACTATGCTCGACTCTTGACGACCACTAGACTAGGTCTTGTTCAACTCAATCTGAATCGAACTTGCTTCTGCGGCCGCGGTGCAGAAACGCAGACTGCTGGCCGTGAGGATGCACACGCCTCCTCGCGGAGCATAGCTTCGCAGAATTTCGCGGACAGATATGAATTCGCAAATCGCACTGACACCGTGCACTTGACTGCAAAGGTCGTACATGAGGCTCTGGAAAAAAACTCGACATCTAGCTGGGGCCTTGTACTCCACGCATCGATGTCACCGCACGGAACCAGTGGCGGGGCCAAAGGCTTTCGGATGCGAGGAATGCCGTCGTGAGCTGACCCGTCGTGACGCTCCACATCTGAAATGTCTGTATCGTCTTTCAGATGAGCTTCCACAGTACGAGTCTCGTCATCACCCTTGCTGGTGCGAGGAGTCTGCAGCTGCTCCTTCGGCTCAAGCTCGTCTGTCTGAGTAGTTTCGATGGGCCCAGCCGGCTCCCTCGACGAGCTGCGAGCAAAGTCCTTGTCTTGCAAAGTATCTTTGCATTCAGCGGCTTCTGCATCCAGTTCAAGAGCCTCCGACTCAGAAAGTTTCGCTTCTTTCGGCTCACGGGTCTCGAGCGCATCTGCCTCTGCGAAGCCATCATCCTCAGGGCTTTGTCCCTCGGCCGGCTGGTTGCCTGCGTCCAAACCCTCCTGGGCCTCCTCCGCCTCGACCACTTCGCTTTCTTTCTCCTCGTCCTCGCCATCCTCGCCTTCCCTGGAGCTGGAAGCATGCTGGGCCGCTGTGCGCCAGATGCGCCACGCCCTCCGCATTTTTCGCAGCTTCCACATTCTGGTTCTCCGGTCCACTCGCTCACGGAGCTGAAGTTCCTCTGAGAGCGCATCCTCAAGCTCCACGTGCTCTGAGTCATTGGGCCCGCCGTTGTCCGTGCTCTTGATATCCCAGCCTGGAGGAACCTGCACGCTAGGAGCGATGCCAGGTTCCTGCCCGGATGCTGCAGACAAAACCTCGTGCCCAGTTCCGTCCGTGGAGTGGTCGCCAGGGGATGTGGAACCCCAGCAGGTGCTCTTTTCGAGCTCCGACTCTCTCTGACAAGCTTCTTGATGGCTCGTCGGTGTCATCTCCATCTCGTCCTCCTGTCCTCCTGGATCATCCGTGGCCCTGTGACGAGGGCGAAAAGCCACTTCGCATGTCGAACTGCAACCAGCTTGCGCATGCCATGTCGGAACTGAAGCTCTCTACGCGCCTGCTATCGGAAAGCACGGCGGCGGCAGCCTAGGCACACCCATCAGCATCCTTCTGGCAAGCATCCCACCACATTTGCAGCTGAGCGCTTGGCGTGAGGCGGCTCCCTGATTTGGGCATCATGCGCATCTGCATGGCGAATAGGCGCTTGGCACTCGCCTGGCGAAGAGGGCGCGAGTAGTTGTTTCCAAACGAAGCACCAGGAGCTGCCGCTGGCTACCAGGGCAGTGCCAACTGTTTTTGCCTCCCCTTCAAAGCTGACAAGTCAGTTTAGGCCAAGGCCTGCAGAACCGGCTGGGAGCATCCTGAAGGTCATCGGCTTTGCAACAAGGAACCCACTGGGGTGGAAGGCTGCGCCTGCAAAGAGCACCCGTCACAGCTCTGGCCTCGAAGGGACAGAACCAGATAATCTGAAAGGAAGCAAAGCCCACCAAATTCCTGGGAGCGGAGCGACAGCATCTTTGGCTACCTGACAATCAACTTCGTCAGATGGAGCTGCATCCAATCAACTTCCACAGATGTGAGAAACACGTGAGAGCAAATTCGTCAGATTTTTCTTGCTAGCGCACGGCCGCGATGCACAGTCGCCGGGTAGCTGTACAGGCTGCAGAATACACTGGAAGACGTGTTCATGCCTCAGGTGTGAGAGGAGTGTGACTCATTACCATAATCATGTCCTTCACTCCTCACCAGCATCACTTCCCTCACTTCCCTCCACTTCGAACGGTGAACTGCTTACTGCTGTTGGCCACGAGGAACACCAAGAGTAGCAAGGCGAAATACTGCTTTCACAACTGGTTGGACACCGAGCAGCGGCGCACATTCGCCGGACCGGGGATGCAGTCTGCCAGTGAGATGAGTGAGAAATGATTGTGACTGAACATACATTTGCAGCCTTCTTGCCTACAAGGGCACGCTCCGTCCGACTCGCCAGACAGCAGTGATCTGGCGGTACTCCTCCGAGTCGCAGTCGAAGGCCGACATGGGCATATTCACTTGCGACTTTGGGAGCTCTTTCTGCCCACTGCTGTCTGGCGAGTCGGACGGAGAGTGCCCTTGTAGCACAGTCACTCGTAAGCCTTGGCATACCAGGCTCTGCTCTCTCTCCTCCTGTGTGGCTTCACCGGCCGTAGCCAGTAGAGGCGTACTCGGCCCTGTAACTCCCTGCATGGCTTCTGGCGCCTGCCGATTCACAGATCCTCATGCGGCATGTGACGGCTTGTTACCATGTTAATGAGCGGATGAACATGCTTGCGAGTTTTGTCCCTCTATGTCCTGCAAACAAACACAGATGACATGGTGGTGTCCCTTGTCGATCGGCTCTTCCTGTGGCTGCGACGACAGGTCACGTGCACCGTTATATTGGACGCTGTCTCAGCTAAAAGGGCTTTAGCTACCGGATGTTGCGGACTTGCCACTCCGACATGTTGTCCTTCCTATCGGAACACTCGCTGTGCCTAGCAATCTGAGCTTGCCGCCCATCGAAGGACTACCTTCTCCTTCCGAGCATCTTACTTACATAGCGGGAAACTGACCCAAATCAGCCAGATGACCAGCCTCCAGCACCACGGTATCTTGGCGGTCGCAAGGCTCGTGGGGAAGGACCTTGATGTCCTCAAGCACCTTTTCAAGAACATCGCAATCCAGCATGCCAGCCACTCCTTCAACAAATGTGCCACTGCACCTTGTCATATGCTCTTCCCAGCACGTGTTGTGCGGCCACCCCAGCGACCTGGCAGCAACAGCTCCGGCAAAGGAAGTAGCCTTTACTGGTGTCAGTGAGTCCATGCCTCTGACTGCCGGGCTTTGCTGCAACGAATCTCCGGAAGCACAGTTTCCTCAAGCACCTCTGTCGCGCAACGACCATGCCGAATACGAAACTTTCAGTCCTCTCAGCTCAGCATGGTCTGCTGTGGCACTTGGTGTGCCTTGCCGTAGGCTCGCCCCAAAGCTTTTCTTGCGACAAACTCCGCCTGGCCCGAGCATCGGCAAACAGACGTTCGAACCGGAAGTCTGTGCCCAAGGTCGCACCTCTTCGCGCTCCTCTGACACTTGAGACTTCCGGTGCAGCCTTGGACTTCCAGCTCAACGAAGTCCAGTCCAGTCCCGAGAGCTCTCAGCGCTGCTTGGCACCCGGCTGCCCTCGGAGGTCCTCCATCGGGTGCCAAGGACAAACACGAGTACGCCCCCTCGCGGCGGGCCTCCATCTGCATGCGCAGCCGCTCCACGGTGAGCTCAACTTGGTTGGAAACCTGACAGGCCGGGCGGGTCAGGCCCCCTCTCGGTCCTGAGGCACTTCGGCTTGCCTCCCCAGCGGGCAAACACAGCCTTGCAGCACAGCACCGCAAGGCACATCACAGCACAGTCAGCCGACGTGCACATCCTGGACTTGCATCGCGCCCGACGCAGATTGCTTTTCGCTACGAGTGGCACTCGTGGCCCTGCGCGTCGATGCCTCAATATGTTTCCTTTGAAAAGCTAACAGCAATCTGACATGCTAGACTCTTGCATTCACGGAAGGGCCACGACCGAAGTCATGGAAACAGGAGTACGTTACAGAAAGGCCGGTACAAGTAATTCCCGATGTCAATCACCTTCCGATGATGCGAAGAAGAATCCGCTGGCTGGTTAGCTCAGCAATCGTGCGATGATCGGCTTTGCCGGGTTGTGAGCCATGCGAAGAGGCAGCGGCAACTTCCTTCCGGATCTCTACAGACTTCTCCTGGCTACAAGATCTAGATTCCGAATCCTGCGTACTGCCTCCACACTATCGGACACTTGGCACGTTCGGGGACTACTTCTCAGACGGAATGGAGTGCACTGTATGTACAGCTCGGGACGGACTGGAACTTGCCCAATGGACCAGGATCTCATCGCCTGCACATGCGACGGAAGTCTCTGGCCTCCTCTGCATGAACGACATATCCCCTACACGCCTTACACTGCCAATTCTCTGCTGAGCTTTGACCAAGCTGCGTTGAAACAAGAACCTTACCAGCCAGCCTGCTCGAAGCTGCGTGATTGGCAGCGGGGAGCATGCTTGGCCCGGACCGCCGGATGCCTGCAACATCTGAGCTGAGATGTGAAGCCGAGACGGCGAAAAGTAAAGCGGCCAAGCGCTTATCCGTGAGCCGGGCAACATGTCGACCATGAAGGCGAACAGTGTCGATCCACTCAAGAAACAACTGACCTTGAGAATCAGAAGGAACACTCAACCGTCGGCTACGTGGTGCAGAGGAGGTTCGGGTAAAATGCAATAAGGCAACTGTGCTCTCCATCAAAGTGCAATCGAATTCGGGCAACTTGTCGCCGCTCCACTTGGCATCGGCCAACATTCACACCTCTGATGCGTAACGCAGACAGATCGTGTCAAGCCAAGCCAGGCCAAGCTCAACAAATCCTCCCGTCTCCCAACTACATAGTCACCAGCCGCCAATCCGAGTCATGGCCACTGCACATGACAGGATCTCTTGCACTGGAAAATCTATGTTGTGGCTCTGAGGTGCTGCGGCTGGCAGGTGCTCCTCCGCCACCCCTTCCCAGGTCCACCATCAAGATCTGGTCGCCAGCTTCGACGTCACCTTTGACCACGGCACCCGTTTCAGGAAGCTGCCCAGAAAGCTCATGAGCTATTTGTCGAGGCTCTCAAGTACTTGGTGCGTCCGTCCGGCAGGGCCACGTACGCCTCGGCAGTCTCATCTCCAGCCCTTCACCCCAAACTCCAAAACCCATCAACCATGCACCTCTCGGTCAGGCCCTGCTTTGACTGTGCAGATCTGCCAGTTGTGCCAAGCATCGTGCACAGGACCCGCATTTATTCTGAAAGCACGTCCTCCGGAGTCTGCGTGGATGAAACCTGGCTGCAAGACGGAGCTTCAAAGTCTTTCAAACTCCCAGAATACCTTCTGCCGGACATGCATCCAGAATGCGTTCTGTCAAGCTGGGCAGCATAAAGCTTTTGCCGTTGAGCCCACCAGTGCACCCTCACCATCTTGCAGCATGCTGATCATGTCCAGGTACACTCCTTTTCAGCTGTCGGGCAGGTGAATCCGGCTGGCACTGCCCATCTCTACTTGCAATACCCAGCTGTTCAAACAAGAGACTGTCGGCTTCACCTCAGATGCCAGCACATTCACTAACATGACGTGCCAGCAAACATATCTTCACGAAGAGAGGGTCTGTGCCGAGACGCCACTGACGACCTCCACAGACTCCACGGTGACCAGCTTAAGCTCCTCGGCTCGAGTCTTGTGACTTCCGTCACCACGCCTCCGCCTGCTGACCCACTGCGGGGATGCGAGCGCCAAACTGCGTAAGGTCAGCGCTTCAGCTGCAGGGAGAAAGATGCCGCCGCACACCTTCGATGCCGTGACGGATCGACTGCCAGCGTGGCTGCCCGATTCAGGACTCTTCCGACCCCTCTGTTTGAGACGACCCTTGGCCAAGAAAGCCGGTTAGATTCAGGGACTGTCCACGCTTTGAGTTCGCGGCGATTCGGGTCAAGATCGACACTGCTCTCAAAGAGCTGTGACTTAGGACTATCACCGCCGCACTATGCCACAATGTTGAAAGACCCGAGGCATGGAAGCCCTTCAACGCCAACTGCTCTCTTCCTTGCAGTTCGATGAAGCCGGAGTTGCTGCTCAACAGGAACCCGAATTAAAATGAAAGAAGGAGCAGTGACCTCCGTGCACGACAGAAAGACTTTCTCAACCAGCCCTTGCTCTGAAACGGACAGATTTCTCCACTAGCACCAACAAGAACACCTTGGTGCCAGATGTCACGTCTTGTGCAGCCTTGCTGCTGTGTTCAGCATCGGCGACTCTGATTTGTTGAGTGCCTGGGCGCGTGTGGCAGCGCTGGAGGTGCTCTGATGCTGAGGCTTGGCGAGGCTGGGAGATTACTATCTGAGAGGTGTAGGAGTATGACACATCCGACGGCACAGCTCGCCTGCTGCTCTCATTGCAGATCAGCATGCAACATGTCATGTAAGTAGCAGTAGTATATACTATATATATATATATATATATACTATATACATAGTATATACATCTCTAGATATATATATATATATATACTAGCTTGAACCCGGGGCCCGGGCCATGCGCTTTACCATGGCTTTGTTCAGCAGCGTGTCATCAGAAACTACCAACGCACCGGTCCTCAAAAGGGCACATGGGTTCATGTGGAACGCAGGAATCAGGAACTCCCCGATGTCCTCGGCAGCGCCGGTTCGAAATCCTCCAAGTGCTGCCTGGGCAGGGACTTCGAACCCTTCCATCGTCCTCAGATGGGATTTCCTTCCTTTCGCCCGTTGCTGCTATCAAAGAGCTCGTTGCTAAGCACAACCGCCAGCCGCGTCCCATGCCTCCCAGACACCCAGAGACACAAGCACAAAAACAGAGGGTAATTAGAAGCCTTCCCTCACGGCCACGCAAGTCCAGCCTGCTACTTGCAGCCAGCAGCGCACCCGACGGAACCAGAGAGTCAGCCTTGAGCAGCTTTGGGCTTTGGGGTTCCACAAGTGCAGAAGCAACGTGATGAAGCTTGTTGAGGTAGGAGCCTGTAGGATAACCTGGGCTCTTCGGCAAGGTCGAATCTCACTTTCACCCGCTTGAACACACTCGCTGGACGGTTTATAAAGTTTAGAGTTTAGTGTTTGCTGTAGCAGAGCAGCCCAGTCAACGTTCCCCATTATCTCCAGGGCATGCTTGTGGACTTCTCCCCCGGTGCCGATGAAGAGAACCTGACTTTCCGGGAGCTGGAGAGAGTGCCAAAAAAAAGCGGTGACAGGGCAAAGACGATCAAGCAGGGTCTATATTCTCGTGCTCAGCTCAGTAGCGCCCATCTCTTTACCATCGCAATCCTCGACACGGCCTCCTGCCTGCAATCAGGAAACAGGGGGGATACCAAGACTGCCTGCACGTGTGCCGCCAGGCTGCGCCACAGACCAGGTCACGCTTCCCTGCTGTGGCACCACTATAAAGGAGCCGCCGGTCGCCTCAAGTTGAAAGATCCGAGAAGCGCTCGGCAGCTGGCCCATTCTTCTGCCGGGCGACAGGCCAGGGGCGCCGGCCTGGGAAACGCGGAACGCGGAAGCTCGCGTGCCGAAGCCTACACTGTTGTGCGTCTCTACAACATCTGCGGCCTAAGGCCAGTGCCCCTCTGTGCCGGAGAACCGGCAGTCTAGCCATATCTCCAGCTTGCAAGAGTCGGCACACATGGCCGACCGAATTCAGCATGCATTACCCTACACCCTAGGTTCCTACCTTGAAATTCGGCAGCCGCCAGCTATTCTGAGGCTGTACGTTGGTGCTCGCAATATATCGACCAAGATAGTACGCAGCAAGCCCACAGGGATACGAGTAGCAGTGAGTAGATAGAACCCGTGACAACAAGCTGTTTTGGTACTGGTCGACTCGGAACCACGAGGCTGGGATGCCAAGCCATGGACACCGACGCCACACTGCTGTCATGCTGCATCATGGTCATGGAAGCCCTGCGAGCTCGCAGTGAGCTCGCTGCTCCGATCCCATTTTGCTGTTGCGCCTCGAGGAGCCTCAGAACGCGGTATCTTGACTCTCGCTCTGGAGTGCAGGGCGGGGAACATGGGTGCCTTCGTGAGTCCAAGTCTGGCCCTCACTCCAGACCTTGCAGGGCCACTGTTTTGCCTTCTTCGCTCAGGAAAAGGAGTGGCTTCCGGCCTCAAACGTTCCTCCCTGGCTCGGGTTGCTCTGCAGACTCAGAACCTGGAAAGCTGTAGAAGGGCCATGAAGCTGGACTGAGAAGTTCAGGGTTAAAAGTGAGCCCAGAAACTTCCAAGGACAGCTCATTTAGGGAACTTGCAAGTAGCCTCACGCCGGCGGCCACCCGGCAAGCGTGGCGGGTGCGCTGAGTTCATAGTGCCCGCTTGGCATTGGAGCGTCTCTGACACGGACTGGGAATCCTCGGGTAGTCTGTGGCCGAAGGTACATGATGTGTTTGTCACCAGGAAACAAGATGGCTTCATTATGTGGAACCTACACCCACCAAAGGCTGCAAGCTGTGATGCTAAGAGCAGGGCACTGCTGGAACGCAGCCGGGAACGGGCGTCGCTTCGCACCTCTGGTCTTGCAAAGTCGCGACCCGAATTGGCCCGTCATGTCTGACAGAGTCGAGCTCCGAGGCTGCAGCAACAGTACCATCATTACTGAGGCGGCTGTTTGCCTGAAGGCGTGCCACGTGCCATCTTCTGCGGCTTGGCCGACTGCGCAATTTCCCGCCTTCTCTGGCTCCAATGCTGTGAGTAGGTGTTCGTCGAATAAACCGTGTCCTCAGCAGCTACGGATCCACGCAGCACGCCACCTGAAAGTGATGCTCCGCTCGATCAGTCAGGCTGTGGCGCCGAAATTGCCACCTCGGGACGGAATCGATCTAGCACACATGCTCCTCGCTCTCGCATCCACAGGAAAGGGTAGCCGAGCTGCAGGAGGTTCAAATGCCAGTGGGGATAGTCTCGCGCTAGTCCTGCCGCGACGATTTTGCTTGACCGCGTCCTCACATCTCTGCTGCAAGAGTTTAAGGCAGCGGCTCGCCAACCATGCAGGACCTCGCTTAATCCAGATCACCCGGCCAAAGGAACAGTCGCTCAAACCTGGCCTGTCAAAGACTCCAACTCCCTCAATGCCATACCTAGCCTGCCAGTGGAAACAGTGGAATTCAGCACGCATCCACAACTGCAAGTAGTGGCCTCTTGGGGTGGAGCAGGTCTATCTCCGTCAGGTCCCTGGTTCCCTTCGCACACAGATGAGTGCAATCTCTGCTGCCGAGCAGCACTCAGCGGCTCAAGTTTTTTAATACTGAGGTCACGACCGTTTCTACACGGAGCTTGAGAGTAGACCTCAGCACAGGGCTTCACTGCAGCCTCAGCAACACAGCTTCGCTCACCCAAGCAAAGCGGCTCGGTACGGCAGTGCGGACACTGGAACTTACTTGATGCCTGGCTGCAGCCACGCAGGTCCCGACGCCAAAACTGTGCCAAGATCTAATCTCCGTGCCATCCGTGCCTCTGCCCCTGGCCGCCCCCACTGAGCATCCACGTCTTCCAAACTGATCTTGCCTGACAGACATCGTGCAAGCCTGGAGATCCCGATTCAAGGCCGCAGGGCGGGCCTGCGCAAAACCTGCACTGCAGGCTGAAGGTCAATCGCGGAAGCCTGCGGTGAAGAAACTTCGGTTGCATTGAAATAAACCACTCGTAGCACCGGGAGACGGGCGTAGGCTTTGGAGCGCAGTCCATGCGGGGTCTAGCTTTCAAGTCCTGACTGCACTAATCGTAAGTAATCGCAGCACGCCACAAACAGCACCTTGCTGGCACAAAACCTTTCCAACCCCTGCTGTGGGAAGTCCTGAAAGAGAAGCAGTCCAGCCTTCGCATGAATGCTCGCAAACGCACCCGTAAGCTTGGAAGCCATCTTCGCATCCACTGTGGGAGGCACATTGGCAGGAGGCCGCGGCGAATTTCCTGCTGAGAAAGCTGGTCAGGTCAGTCAGGGATGGCGGATTCCGAAGCCTGGCTGGTTTCGTCCCGTCTCAGGCCTTAGCCCCGTGGCAACCCAAAGATGGAAAAGAAGTCGACTGACAGCTGCGATTGATCTTGCATCGATTTTGGCACTTGTTGTGTAAAGCTCGCAGGCAAAAGAAGCTTATGCCACATTGGCTAGGCAGTTGTGCAAGCCCCTGCAGAGGCGACAACGATGCCACCCATGCTGCTGATTTTCCTACCGCTAACCCTATCAACCAGCAGCACAACAGCCGCAAGATCACTGCAGTAGCTGGAAGTCTTGGGCTCGTGCGGTTGCCCGGCTTCACCTGCTGATTCCGCTTGCCATAAAGTCTCGACACTATTTCTCTCTAACTGAATCCTTCCAAGCATGTGCCTGGCCTGGACTTTGGGACACGACCGCTGCCTGCTAAAATCCGCGCATCGCGGCACACGCGCCACGTGACCATGACACATGCTGAGCTGCTTGTTTCAATGGCGTACCTGAGGGAGTCCCTTTTGACCTTCGTGGCTGTCCGACGCCTTGCAGCTCTGCGCATCATGACAGCAAGCGAAAACTGACACACAGCGTCGGTCAATCTGGGATGCTGGCACAAAGCTGCACGAATCTTTCAAAAAACACGGACAGGCTCTGTGGGTGGGTGGCTGCCTCGGCTCAACGTCGAACAAGACCCAGCAATGGCTCAATCATTCCTCCGTCCCTCTCTCTGCCTTCACCCTTGGCAAACTGCAGGCCCTGCTACCAAAACTGCGACAAGCATCTTCACACCTACAGTTGAAGGAGACACGGCAAAAGCAACGTGACTCTGTCCTGCTTGCAAAGCTCACTTTTTGCCACAAGTCTTGTCAAAGCCGCGGCTCTCCTCTCTTGACCCGGTGGCCTAGGACACAATGTCGCCTGCGGCTCGTGTGCATATGCTGTCGCTCGCGCGGATGGAGGGCTTCGTCCTCGGAGTCCATCTCCACTCGGGCGGGTTTGGGAGTCAAGAGGCCGTGATGCGCGCGTTGAGGGAATCACCGTTTGCCCATCACGGCGAAGGGCAGTCCAGACGAGTCCTGACAATCTCACAACAGACATGTTCTGCCGCCATGTAGGCCCCGACAGTCGGTCCTGAGCTTTATCCGCCGCTTCTTTGACTTCTTCGACCAGTTGCCTGCGCGATGAAACTATTCACTTTCTAAGCTTTGGCATCCGGCACTCCCTGACTAGACGGGACTTGTGCGTGGCAATTATCCTGGCATCCCTAGAGGCGGTTCGGCGGTTTGTCAGAACTTCGGAGGCCCAGGCCCAGCCTCAGCGCTTGCTTGCGCTGTCGGCGAAATGCCACGGCTAAGAGCCGACAACCCTTCGCTGAGGTCTGCAGCCTCTCATCCTCTGCCACTGTCGTTTGAAACTCTCCGAGGCAGCCCTGCAGCAGCCCCAGAAGAGCTTGAAGGCATTTTCGCTTCTCTTCGCCAGCCAGACCGACAAACCTGTCGCCGACTTGTTCGTCTTCTAATGTCTCAACTTCCTCCAAGTTCGCCACTGAAAGTACCAGCGACGTCTTGAGGAAGGTAGTTCCAATTGCTGCAGCAAGGTCATCCAGACGTGTACCCCCTTCACCCTCAAAGCGAGCAAAAGGCCTCACCAGCCCTTTGACGATGACATCGCCAAACAAGCGTCCTGGCATCGCACCTTTGACTGTTCTCTGAACTGCCGTTGCTCGAGGTCCAGCAGACTCGGTCAGATAAGCCTTGACGAAGATTTCCGTCTCCGTACCGAGATCCTCGATAACTGTTCCGTACTCCAGAAGCATTTGGGACGCGGCTGCAGATACCTCACGTACCAACAACTCCCCTTCCTCGATGGTGCGAGTGGTAACCAGCATCAGCAGCTGGCGACCTTCCCCGATATCTTCCAATTCCAGGCGACAATTTGCTTGCAATGGCCGATTTGCATCTGCAGAAATTCCAGGCACATCCAGGGAGTCAACCAGAGGCACAAGGACCCACTTGCCATTCACAAGAGTAGCACGACCCAGGGCTGCAGCAAAGCACTCAAAGAACTGCTTGCGAAGCTTGTTGGGGTCGATGCCATCTCTCTCGCATCGGCGACTAAGCCATGAGTGCGCACGGGCGGAGAGTGCCTCAACTTCCTTTTGCATCTCCGCGTCCTGGAGCTCAGCCACCTTTTATTACAAACGGTGTTATCTTTGCTTGCATCTGCCTGCAGCTTCAGTTCTTGTGTTGACGAAGTACGCAGGGGAGTTCACGAAGCAAAAGTCGGGAGGGCAAGACGAAATGCCACTCTTCAGAGGTGAAACCCCCCAACCCTTCAGTCGCCAAGTGAATTGAACGAATGCATTGCCTGGGGGTCAGCCTGCCCGATTAATGAATTACAGGGCACAGAGCAAGTGGCTGAAGCAAAAACCAGGCCACAAGATTTTGGAGCCATAGAACCGGTTGAGCAGGTTGCCGGGGCAGAGCCATCAAATACTGCACGGGCCAAGGTCTCGCCTGACAGGCACTCCCAAGCAAAAGTACATGCCAGCAAGTGCTCCGTTTGAACTACTTGTCCCTTTCCAGCTTGGCATCGTGCCCTATAGGCAAACTCAGATTCAGTGGCCTCCGATTTCGTTCGCTTCACCAGCCCTCTCTCCATTAGCATGCGCCAGGCGAGCGCCAGTGCAGCGTCGACTTTGTCCGCATTCTCACTGGCTTGCCCCGAAAAAAGAAGTGCTTCGGGCATCAGCCCCACCAGCGGGCTGTCCTGAAGTCAATATGGTGACACGGCTATGCCAGTGGCAGGCCCTGGAACGACTCCACTCTTCGAGGTGATGCGAGCCTTCTCGATCTTCGCTGAGACGACAAGCCGCGAATTCTGGACCACGATCGCAGGATGAACCTTGCACAACTTGTTCGATCTGGCCCAGATGCGTAACCGCGCCAAGTCCAGCTCACCAGGGCCCTGCACCCAGATTGAACTCTGATGGACCCTCGTAGCTTGGGCACCAGGCAATTGACTATACTATGCATCCCTCCCTTCTTAAGAGGGGGGGTGGCTTCTTAGCGCTCCCTTTTCTCGCCTCCGGGTCGGTCGCCCGCTCCTCGGCTTCCTCGGCGGCTTCGATGGCCTTTTCCGCTTCCCACTCGGCCACTTCCGCAGCCGACGCCTCCTCCACGCCGAAGTCCTCGAAGGACTGGGAGGGCACTGCCGTGAGAGGCCCGTGATGTCTGTAACGCCCGTGGCGCTGCCGGTGGCTGTGGCGGCGCCCATGTTTGTGCCCAAACGGCACCAAGCTAGCAGCAGCCAGCGCAAGCGGCACGAAGCGACTTGGGGTCTGGCCTCGACCCCGAGGAAGGCAAAGCCCATGTCTCGCATCTACGACGCATTTGTTCCGAAAGCCGGGGTTGCTCAGCACCGCCAGAGGAGCTGCACCGGCGTTAACGGAACTCATGCATGCCACAGCATCACCCTCGAACACACCGGCGTGACTACCTTTTCATCATCCCTCGCTGAGCCGTTACATTGACAAGCGTTGTGGAACACTCACAACTCACACCTAGATGGTGCCACATTGCCTATCAGCTTATGGTGCACACACACACACACACACATATTGAGCCAAGCACGACCAGTCGTCTTACCTTCATCCAAGTGAAGAGCCGCTCGGCCAAATCCTCGAGCTCACAGAAATGTGTGTCACGCTTACTGGTCGGGTCCTGGGTAGCCCACCACCCTCAAGGCTCCACATCGAGCACATGCTGCAGCCTTCAACGTGCGGGAACTCGGGGCAGATGTTGCCAAGTGAATCTGAGCCGAGTGCCAGCATGCTGAGAGCGAGGTCGTGGGGCGGTGGCGATGACCTGTCTCGCAGCTCCAGGTCGCCTAGAGCTTGCGCTCTGGCCTGGAAATGACGAGCCCGTCGCTGATCTCGTGGATCCCCAGGAGTCATCTTGTGCAAGACGCTCAGACCTCTCCATGAGCTGACATGCTGTGACAAACCAAGCAGGGATCGCGAGCCGGCAAAGCAACGTCAACATGTAGTGAGGGCCGAACACAAATCCATCTTGGCCCACTGAAGGCGCTGTTGTTCCGGACCTGAAGATGTGCCAAAACGGACCAAGGCCTGCCGACGCAGAGGCAGCTGTCTTGGCCACCGGCGATCCGGCAGGTAAGCTGCCCAAGACAACAGCCAGCAATGCTGCACGTACCACACGAGGGGTGCCTCAGCTCGATCCAGCCTGGCTGCCTTCAAAGATTCTGGTTCCAAATTTGTGCAAGCAGCGGAAGGCAGCGGATCGCGGGAGGAAACGACACCAGGCCTGCGTGGAATGTTCCAGGTGGTCCTTTCACATGCCGCCAAGCTAATAAGGCCCGTGCCTTTCTGCTGAAACAGTCGGAACAGGCCTGGGTCCGAGTCACGCTGCAGCCGTTAAAGGCATGCTACACATCACCTCGCAGAACCAAAACACTTTCTGCAGTGTAGCTCTCTGAGGCGTCAGCATGGCCTGCAACAACAGATGAGCGCAAACATACCCTAAACCGGAAGCCCCACAAACGGTACACGACAAAGATCTCAATGCTCCTCCATTGGCCGAGGCTTGTAGAGCCGGTTCCTTACAAACATGAGGTCCGAACTTTACAGATAGATGCAATGAGTGCCATATGAAAACAGTAACCACACATCTATCTACCTACCTGCCTCCCCATCTACCTACCTGCCCACCTACCTATCTACCAAATTATCTGCCTAGGGAGGCACCTCCCTAGCTACCTCCCTTTGTGTTGTGCTTCCGGGCTTGTGAAGTCGGCCGGGGAAGGTGATAGGTAGCAACAGAATCGCGAGGTAGCTACCTGTCCGTCTACATTGTCAGTGTGTGTTACATGCATCCATACATCCATACATCCACTGACACCCATCCTACACGCATTCATGCATTGCGTGGGCATTATCTGGCACATGTTGTGTTGCCATCTGCTTCGTCACACAAGACTGACATCATTATGCCGGAAACTTCTGCAAGGCCCTGCAAGGCTTCATGCCTGAGGTATTGGCTCATCCAGCTGCCAGACCGCGCCTGTGCTCAGCTCTGCGACATATTGCTCCACTACCTCTACTGGCATAATCTTCTGAAACTAATGCTGGGATGCTATTCCAGTCTTGTGCTTGTAACGCAGGCGGATGTACTCTGCAGTTGCTCGATTCTCGACTGTTCTACTACTATATTTATCCGTGGCCTTGAAACTTGAAGACATCTTTGGAAGCTGTGAACACGTCGCATCCGCCTCGACTCGTTCGATCGTCTTCGGGCTCTGCCACCTCAGCTCATTGCTGCTGGCTTGCATTTCGGCACGGTTCGTCTTAGATGCAGACGCTTCCTCTTGGAGGGTCCGGAACACGAACTTCACGGTAGTGGCCTTCGACGAACCAGCGGAACACATTGGCGAGAAAATGCCATAGCCGGCGATCCTTTTTCGGAGAAGTCCAAGCTCAGGAAAGGCGTTGCCTGACGAAGAAAGAAGTGGACTGCCAGAGCCACAAGCAAGCCGAGCTTCACCCAGGGCTTGGAGCTCAGAAAGCCACTGTCTTGCTGAACATGAACGTCTTCCGGTTCAGCTTTTGTGCCTTGCGCGAGGTGAGGCAGGTCGCTGCAACTGATTCCATTGTTTGAGCCGCCGACGATGACTTCGTCGAACAGAACAATATCCTTCGAATCCTCGCCCGATAACAACCGACGGCCTGCAGAGCAGGAATACCTTCTTGGCAGCTTCTGCGCTCTGCGCGGAACCCGAGCTCTGTGCTTATCCAACTGGCCCACATTTGGGTCGAGGTCAGTTCTTTCAGAAAGGGGCGCTCCGTTTCAGAGCCTTTGGCAAAAGATGCTTGCGGATACACAAGGCACTTTGCCTAAGCCCAAGTTCGCCGCACTTTGCTAAAAATCCAGCTTGATCAAATCCTGATGTCCCAAGATGCGATGGGAAGTGAGACAGGAACAAGAATTCAGAAGATTCTGAGACGGTCGGTAGAAACAGAACCTCGATTTTCGGCTGAGATCCATACCACCATCGAATTTTCCGTTGGTGAAGCGGCTGTGATCCACAAGCAGATCTGTCATGAACCTGGCCATTCGGAGCAGGTGGCAGCGCATGGGCTTCGCCCGGCAAGAAAAAGGCGGCTGCACCACAAAAATGCTCTTCCTTGGCTGCAAGCGCTGACAAAACCAGTACGCACACTAGCAACATGACTCTTGCCAAGGCACTGATCATGGAGTCCAGCTCCCCTTCGGGTGGGCCTGACCCCTGCAAAGGGCTCTGACTCTCTCATGGCATAGCAGCAAGTAGACTTGCTGAATGATGACTATTTCAACTCTGAAGCAGTCGGAGGCGGCTTTTTCCCCCGGCATCGCATCCGCGAGGCTTTGGCGGACAGGCTTCTCCAGGATTTCTAGGGTGCTAGATTCCTCCCGCGGCATCCCCTGGCGCGATTCTCTCACGCCACAACGCACTGTACACCTCATGCCCATCAGGCTGTCAACGCTCGATTTGGAGCAACGCAGCCAAAGGAAAAGCAGGCGAAGCGCCCGAAGACTGCCCGAAGTCAAGGCTCGACTAAAGGAGCCGACAGGAAGGAATGAGACTCTCTTTCCGAACTTGTAAATCTGGCGCAAATGCCGTAGACCAAGAGGGAAATCAGAGTTCCAAAAAGCCCGACGGAGGCAAGCAGGGCGTATGCCCCACGATCAGGTGCTACGAGTGGCGCCTTGCCAGACGGCCTTAGCCGTCGTATGAATCGCTGATCGATGGAAGTTGCAGCCAAGTGGATCCAAGGAGCCCCATCTCGGGGAACCCATCGGCGAAAGATAGCGGGGCTGTTGCTTCATCCACCACCTCCTTTGGAAACCACCTGGGCACTCGTCGTGAACAACACCCAACTCTTGCAGAAGGCCTTGCATGCGAGCATCACGGGAAAACGCACCGGTGGCGCCGGAGTGTGAGCAAGTCAAGGTCATCGCGGTGCAGACTTGTAGTTAGAAGAAAGCTCTGGATTCATCGGGAGAGGGCATTCCAGAAACAAGTAAGAGGACAGGCGGGCACGAGCATGAACGCAGGCTTTGCTGTGCACGTGCTGGTCGGCCAGCGTCGCTTCAAGACAGCACCCCGGCCTGGCAGCTCCAGGCCTCGTAGTGTCATAGATATACCTGCAACGCGCACACCGGAAGCTGCTGCACGGGGTTCTGCGAATGAACCCCATAGGCAAATACCATCAAGTACTAGTAGCATGAGTTCGAAAGTAGCCCTTGCCTGGTGTGCGGCGTGCCAGGAATGGACGTCGTAGGTGGCCAGATCAAGCCCAGTCGTGTTGCAGTCTGCTTCGCGGCAGCAACATACTTGATGAATGCTGCCGTTCCTGGTATCAGGTAGACCCGATTGCGTGGATGTCGGGATGCGTAAGAAGTAGCTGAGTCAAGCTGAGACTCGATTGAGAGCGCGAGCTGCCTGCAAAGAAAACACAAAGCTTGTGGCTTATGGCACCAACTGCCAAAAACGCAACTCAGCCATTGCAACACAGGTGCCTGCCACAAGGGCACCCCACTGCCACAACCTTCAGAGTACATCGGAAAGTCGTGCCACATACCGACGTGGACATCCACATGAACGCCTCGGATTCAGTGGACCCTCACCAGACACAGAGATTCGGGATGCTCTGTGTACAGGTTGCTGTCCGGGTGCTGGTCCCGTAGAAGGCCGCCTTCTGGGCAAGGATCATGCTGTCACCGAGGATGGATTCAGAGCCGCCAACTGCAAAAAACAGGGGCGGAATGCCTCCACCTCAGGGAAGGAGCTCAGATGCCCGGGGTGCAAGTCGGGAGTTCAAGGAGACATAATTATCGTTAATCCATTCATGCGCGCCACTGATTTTTATGATGAGGCATCTGGCTACCTTCCTAGATACTCCCGCCGTGTACCCACGCTTGTTCGAATTTCATCACTTTGACATATGCAGCACCTCCCAGCTCATCCACTGATGCAAAGAAAGGCGAGGCCAGGGGATCTGTCAGCAAGCTGTCATCATCGCCCACATAGCCTCAATCAAGTCCGAGCCCCATCTACCACTAGCACCTTGCGAGCAACAACCAATGTGAATGTTTAGAGTTTAGAGCCCCCTCTTGCATGCCTACACGTCGATGCACGACAAACCGGATACGTCCGTTCTATCCTGGGGGGTGGGGGGGGTCGGACCAAGACATGGATCATGTGGACTGTGGGGCTGATTCAGGACGCGAGCGCTTTATGGACGTCCTGTATAGGGTGCTGTTCTGGTGGCAGTGCTGTTTGTGGATGGGATTCAACCCTCTGCTCGTGGCCAGCACGAGTTTGGGAGGGTGAGGTGTTCAAGTGGAAGGGGCACACAACATCCAGAGCCATATCGTAGGCAGGATACTAATGCAACATAATGCAACCGAAGTTATTGTCTTCGCGGTGTAGAACGTGTTCAACTACCCCGACCTCCTGCTGTCTATAGCAATATGAACATAATAGGATCACACCTTCGCCTCTTCAAAAGCGAAACTAAGCATCCAGCACACACCCTATTTTGAGCTCCTTCGGTTTCATCGCTGTTACACTTGGACTGTGGGAAGTGCATGTTGAAGGCGACACACTAAAATTCCCGTGAACACCTATGAGGTGCACAGCCTGTAATCAGCGACGAATGCGTAGATCACACGTGGACGCACGGTGATGTACAGAATGTGCACACGCACGGGGGAGTTTGCCGCTGCTCGCAAGGAGGTGCAAGCGAGTGAATGCAGGTGTGCGTGCAAATGATCGCACACGGGCGCGCGCGCGCGTGTGTGTGGCTTTTGGGCCTGACATCGAGTCATACCCATGCTCTCATGACACACTGCTCGGGCAAGTAGTGCAATCCATAAATGAGCTTGGAAGCTCTTGGCATTCACCGTGAACTCGTCCAAGTTTTCCTGTGGATGACCTCGAAACATCAGATCGCCCACATACGCCACCCCGGAGTCGGGGTCTTTGAAGGCCTTCTTGTCCACAATCTTGGCGAAAGCATTATAATAGTAATCCGGCGTGTCACACTTGAGGTTCGTCCATGGGCTGAAGAACACAGCGCCTGCCAAGATCTGACCTCCAGGAAGCTCCTCCGGTCGAGACTCCCGGATGCCCTTCGGGCTCCAGCCGCCGCTCTCCTTCAACTTCAGAGTCCTTGGGCTTCGAAAATCTTGGTCTAATCACTTCTTACAAACAGGCTCCAGGCTCGCTGTTTCCTGCCTGTTTCGAGGCTAGGCTCAGGGACATTGCCGTCCCACCGCCCGCTGAGTCACCCCCGACCAGAAGTGGCGCCACTCCCGGTGGGCAGTGCAGGTCTCCCAACGGGGCTTCCGCCAGCCAACGCAGAGCATCAAGGCAAGCGCGGAGCACGACCTGATAGGTCCCGACAGGCGCAAGGGGGAAATCGGGTACCATCACGACGGCGCCAGAAAGCCCAGCCAGCTTGGAGGCCAGCTGGCCATAGGAATAGGTATCAGGGCTGCCATACTCCCAGCTACCCCCATGAATCCAGAGCAGCCGTGGGGATTCACAAGTAGCGCCTTCAGGGACCCAAAGCAAGTCATCCTCGGCTATGGCTCAAGAAGCTGACCGAGCATAGAAAGTGGCATGAGTTGAAATGCAGACGGAAAACGCCACGATAGCCCTTCTTGTCGTCGTAGCAGGACTTGCCGCACCACCAGCCAACTCCGACGCGCCGCACGACTGTCTTCCGAACACCGGGAGCATAAAGGCTGTCGAGACAGCAGCTGGAATTCCGAACGATCGAAGTGTAGCAGTATGCCACTGTTTCTGAGATCAGGTCCTGCATGTCCGCAGCACGTGCTCATGCTGCAAATTTTCGATTTTAGTCTAGCGGAGTCACCAATATATACTAGTACCATCAGCTATGACTTTAAAGTTCACCAAGGATGCCATGCTAGAATCACAGGTTTGCCAGCCGGCCAGCCCCATCCCTGCTCTCGCTGTCCTCGTAGGGGTAGTGCCCGTTCTGCCAGAGAGGTTTTTCGTGCGCCTCTACCAACAAGCCAAGCGAAAGACAGAGAAACTGCAAGGCATCGTGGCGCCGTAGCATTTGCAGCGCAAACTAACACCCGCAAAGGTGTCTTCGGAGCTTCAGCTGCTGCGGAGTCGTTTGACTTTCAAGGGTCACAACTGCAGGCAGGCATGCGTCCATCGACGACCCTTGCGTGAAATCTTCCCTGTTTCTCACTCCATCTGGCACTAGAAAGTTCGCATCCAGTTCAACTACTATACACTTCGCTGTTCAGCAGCGTTTTGGTGAAACATATCGAGAACTCCTTGGCCCTCATCTCATTTGGTACACACGAGCTTCGCCTGCCTCTAGGGCCACAAGGACCTGACCAACTACGCCCGGATTCACTTGGAGCGCGTTCACGGAGCCAGCATGCGTGTCCAAGTGGCACCAACGCTTCTTCAGGCCAGGGATCCACAACAGCAGTAGTCCCGTTGCATGACCTGAATAGATGTTGTTGCCACCTGGGATCACAGCCAAGGACTGCACGGGCCCCGCATCAACCGCGTACAGGTCTCCCAGGTGTTTGCCATTGAAGACATCCCACATGCGGATCATGCCATCTGACCCACCAGAGTACAAAGTGTTGCCGGCTGGCGCTGACACCAGGGCATTCACTGCTCCATCGTGGGCTTGTGGGATCAAACTCTTCAGGAAGCCGTTGTAAGTAATCCAGACACGAATGCTGCCAAATCCATACCCTACAGCGTAGAGGGTGTCAAACGGAATCGCTGCAATGCTGGTTACTGGCCCCCAGTTGTCCGGCTGGTAGTAGTAGACAGGGACGTCGCCCCAACGCGTGTTGGTGAACCAATTCGTCCACGGGGCAGTCCTGTCGGCCGGGCGAAGTCTGCGCCCCTTCACATCCTCAGATGTGTTGCTCAGGCGGCGCGAGTTCAACCCAAAGAGGTTCTTCCTCCACTCCGTGAACGCCACTTGCCACTCGCTGTCGTGGCCTTTGTACTGATCTGGCCAGCGGACAAAGCCAGCATCTTTGTCAATCTGCCACTTCCACTGATCCTTCGGGTCGACGGGCACTGACAGGGTTTTGCTCGCCTTCCAATGCCAAATCACTGTAAAGCTGTCACCCTGACCAACAATGGCCGTCTCCCAGGTGTTGATGCCTACGCAGGAGGTGGTTGGGACATTGTCGTCCCCGGTCGTGTACTCCATGGAGAGCACACCAGAGTCCTGGGGGCCAGAACTGCGCCAAACGATTGCCTCGGTCTCGCTGGCAGCACAGAAGAAAGTGGCATCGTTAAAGGTGCTGATCGTTTGCACTGGCGAGTAGTGGGCGGAATAGTTCTTAAGCATCTTTCCATCTGCTATCCTCCAGATGAAGACCAACTTGTCATCTCCCCCAGTGACCGCCCGGGTGCCACCAGCAATGACATCAATGCCATTCACGGCAACAGCCTCTCCACTCTTGTGCAAGGGGAAGACAGACACTATGCCGAACTTCAGCAAGTCTTCGCACCGTGGAGTTTCCTGCACCTCGCAACCTGGCTCCACGAGGTTATTCATCACCTTCTCGAATGCCACGTGGTTCCACACTTCGGTAGGCGTGGTCTCAAAGTCAAGGCCTAGCTTGTCCTCGCAGTACTCGGTAAGGGTCTGACACGACTTACATGCCATGGTCCATGCAGTGAGACCGTTGCCGCAGTAGTCGTCACTGGCCTTTTCGTAGCAGCACTGTTCCTGACACGTGGATGGCGTGCAAAGCTCTGGTGGAAAGGGCCTCTCGCACGTTGTGGCTGCTGGACAGGATGTGTCGGCGCACCGACCCTGACAGCAGGTGTCCTCACACTGAGCTTGGCCTTTGCATGTCTGGCTTGTTTGTCCCGACTTGAAATACGAGATCAGTCTTGTGCGAAATGTAGGACCGAGAGACGCCATGCAGGTGAAGCCTGGAATGGCACTGCATGCGATGCTGCCGCAGCACTTGTCGAGGCAGTCCGCAGAAGTTGCGGGTCCCTCACACTCGCCATTTAGTGGAGTGGAATAGATGTCACATGTCACTGCGGAACAGGAAACCGTTGCAAGGCTTCGTGGAGTCCAGCTCATCTCCTCCATCGACACATCGTTGGAAGACTCAACTTCTCCGACACTCGGGTTCAGCGGAATTGTGGCCAGAGCTAGGAGTGCAGCCCCTAGAAGTCCGATCAAGCAAGCCACCTGGCGGAATCCCAGACGCCCATGCGTCACCTCCTGGAAGGATTCGGGCAAAGCTGGTGAAAGCTCGCTGTCCACATCACCGCCCTTGCGTGCAGCTTCCATGGCAGCAAGCTAAGCTTCCACGGCTTAGCCAGATGACTGCTTGAGAGCACAAGCGACAAGGGAAGTGCCACGTGAGCAGGCAGCTTCGGATTCGTGTCTGACTCCTAAAAACACTTCTGTACCGTCTGGTATGACGCGGGAAGATAGTGGCCTGTTTGGACAGGATGTGCTCTGGTGAGTGAACATTGTCCTGGGCGGCAAACTTATGCTGGCCAGCCACAGTGGGAGTGCTCCGGGCTCGATGCCGTGAGGACTAAGCGATCACCTCACGTCTTGGGTCACTTCACTTGCTCGCACTCGACTTGCTGGAACTTGGCCTGGTGTTCGTGGCGGCGGTTCGAACGCTTCCGGCAGTGACACCTTGGAACATCAGGAAGCAGATGAGATGCCTGCAATTCTTCGTGGCCGTCTTCAATCCTGGCTCAACAACTTAGATTAGACTTCGAGACGGCCCCATGAGCCAAGATGGAAGCACAACTAGTCAAAACTAGAGACGAGAAACAACCACCTCCCATCAACTGGCCGCGGTGCTGCACTTTTTGGACAGCTTCTTTGGTCTGTACAGGAGAGATGCAAAGCCTGAGGAACAAGGCCGCCTGCAAGCAACAAAGAGCATGCAACAGCCATCGCGAAAGAATAACAGGCTGCTTCGAGCATTGAGGCCTCAAGCGGCGACTAATGCAACGACGGTTCTTGTTCTAGTTGAAGCAAGGCTCTTGGCATACGACATGTGAAACGCCTGCAAAGACATATTGAGAATGTTAAGCAGGTGTCCAGGACCCTTCGCTTGAAACCTTTGCCAATACACTTACAGTCACTTACAAGTAGCTGCCGAGTTAGGTTGTAAAACTGTAAAATCTCAAGTTGTGTTTTGAGCGAGCTTGGCCTCAGGCAGAACATGACAGAACTGTCCTCACGCACCGATCGACGGTGAGAAAACTGGAAGCTACCTTGCCCTCAGATCTTTTTGCGGTAGACCTCAGAGAGCAGAGAGCTCTTCATGAAACCTAGCCAGAAGGCTCTCAGGTTGCATGCAAGACTCCGTCTCCGCTAAAGGGGGGCCAGTCTCCCAGGATGGACCGTGGTGGACAGGTAGACCCTTGCTTGGGGCTGCCTGCCACAGAGAGCTGCAAAGGACAAAAGAGCTCTCCAAAGAAGCGCACACCCGCGCACCCCGACAAGGTTTCGCCTTTTAGAGAAATCCCCAGATGAAAGTCCTTCTTGCAGTTTCCCGTATTCGCTCTGCGAACTGGGCGGTCCACAAACTAAGCGCATTCAAACGCAAATAATTAAATAGTCAGAACAACACAATCAGTCTCCCTGCTAGCGGTTGGCGCGCACCTCGGTCCGAAGATTCAAATGCCTCAAAAAAAAAACGCGCTTGGCGAGCCACGTAAGGCCTCTGACGATTGGGCAAAGCTTGACTATATTCCAGCCAAAAGTGCTGTCAGGTCCTGGACTTCTATTGCTTCCTCCTTTGGATGCAAAGATCGGAGGATGTATTGAGAACAAGTTCTGCTCATTTTCGCAAGCACGGCTTCTGGCAGCAATTCCACTGTGGCCGTTTCCTGAACCCGGCCGGACCAGCCCGGGCCGGAACCGCGGAACCGGAGCCGGAGCGGCCGGAGCTGCTTCGCCTTGAGGAGCATCTACCCGAGTCTCCCTTCTCTTTCCGTTCTGGAACAGAGATGGTGCAATGACCGCCACTGTCACCGTCACATTTCCGTGCGTAGCCTCAGCCATAACGGCTCAGCAGCAAAGAGGCTCTACCTTCTCAACGTCGGGGTCTGAGAGTTTTGCTTCGGGACTCCAAATGATTTGCTCAGGGCGCAGCCGCCTTGCTTGCGGCAGCCATGCCAAGAAAAACAACCCACCCAATTCTCGGGGTCTTAGATCAAGACATGTATCATTTAACATTCTGCCTTGAAGTTGGCCGTTGCTCACTCCGGACCGGAGCAACCATCCCCCCATACGTAGACCCGATTGTTGGAGAAGAACTCCTTTGGTCGGTGTTTTTGAGACACCTCAAGATTTTAATTTTGCGAGTTTACACTCCTGAACTAGGAACCCAAAGAAGAGCCTTGAAGCGCCCCAGTCATTATGCGCCCCATGGCTCATCAAACGGAGTTGTAGAACAGCGAAGTTCAGCGTCATATTGATAGTGTTCCGGACTTTTGCTCAAGGCCGCGGATCGTGGTCGGACCAAGGTCCAGGGCCTTGAGCAGAAGTTCGACAACTAGGCGGTGATCAGTGTAGTAGAACGCTTCATCGCACAACTTTCATGATGAAGCATCACTGCACGCATGGCAGAGTGCAGGTCTTCGAGAAGCAGAAGTTGAAGTTGCCGTATGTCATGTTCCAGTCAGAAACTTGTTTGCTGCAGCATCTTGATGCCGGTCACTTCCCTAGAGATTTGCAGGGTCACACAGGGCTCCGCGCTCATTTGAGTCCCGTGCTTGAAGGCGATTGCTCCAAAGAGCTTTCCAACTATTTTCGTTGTACTGTCTGGAATGTTTGGCCTCGCGCTCACATAGCACGCACGTGGGCAATCATGCAAATGTCCCAAAGCATCCTGCATCATTCTGAAGACGATCTGCTAATCCCTTGGCTTGCTCGGTGCGGCTTAGGGGCTTAGTGCAATTCGGGGCAAGTTCTATTCGGAGAAAATTACTAATTAGCTCAGACAGTGTGCATTACCGCTGAGAAAGCCTCCACCTATCCCTCAGTTTATCCTTCGAAGGACTAGACGTGTCGGGCGGACCGCGTTTACCAAGCACGCGCACATGACCGAATGTCCCAGTTGCTCAAACAGCGCGGGCGTTGTCCCGGACCCCACCTTGTGACCACCGCGGAGCTCTTCGTAGCCGTGAGCGAAAGTGCATTGCGCCCCTTTGTCACAATGGCCCCGCTCGAAGTACTTGCACAGGTCTTTTTTGAACCTCCTGACAGGTGCTATGCGTGGCCAAGGCGAACCTGCACCCTCCAATTCCATCAAGCTTCGGAGCTTTGGAGCTTTCACTCCCTTGCGCCATGCCTTGCAAGCCAGGACATGGGCGTCCACAGCAGAAAAAGAAAAGTCTCACAGAACGACGTTGAGCAATAGCTGTGCATGTGGAGACTACGGGCAATGCACCTCTGCGGGACTCTGTCTCAGGCTTCCTCACTTGCAACGTGCAGAAACGCGCGAGCTGGGCTAGCCCAATCGAATCAAGCAAGCCTGCAGGTGCTAAGCGCAACAGTAACAGCCGAGTCTCGAGGGCTCCGGTAGCTCTTCATCAACCGCAGGCACAAAGGTTTTATCACTGCCTAGGCTCCGACACGCTCTCCATCCCCCGGCGAAGCTGCAAGATGCTAAGATGATATCGTGATACGTATAGACGATTGAAATGGCGAAGGGGCTTCCAAGCCGCATCCCTTTGCACCGCGCATTTATCAATCGGAGCGTTGCCTCCAGGAGCGAAGCTTCAGATCGAGGCTGGAGGAGGGCATGTCTTGCATGGCCTCCTCGTTGGTCTCCCGCTTGGCATCTGCAGCTCGGTATCCGCCCGTGTAGTCCCAGCGCACAGAGGACCTTTACTGCTAAGGACATGCAAGAGCGTGCACACTTTCCACCTCGGCGGCCGAGGGGCTTTCGCTCCTGTTGCGCTTGAACGCGGCGCGCTCGCGCAGCCTCTTCGGATTCCTGGGGTTCCTGACAGGCACATCACGCATAGCATCCACTGGCTGTGGGTTGTTTAGGCATGTTTAGGCAACCAACCTCGGCCGGCTGCGGATCAATGCCGGTCTCGGGCAGCTGCCCTACGAGTCAGCACTACTGCACACTTCCCTCTCGAATCTTTCGGCGGATTTGCAACGAGTGTAATCTTTGGCCTGAAGCCCAGATGACCTCCTCGCCGTCACTGTCGTTGCTTTGAGAGTCTTGCAGGGAAGCATCGGCGCTCATCACACCCATGGCGACGAAATGGCTTGTCCCAACAAGGCAAACCTCATCAGGCGATATGGGTGCCATGACTATCCAAGAAATAGCCTTCCATGCGGCTGAGAAACAAAGTCGAGCATCGCCTCCTTACGCAGCTTGTATGTTCAGCATCAGATGCTGACTTCGAAAACACCATACAACAGCTCCACGCCGGGTGAACGTGTACTCCCAATCCAACTGCCTATGTAAGTGTTTCAGTGCCAGGCTCAATTGCGACTAGCAAGCAGGCATTGTCGCGACATCCTGACAGCACGCTGCACAAAACATGCAACCGGGTGCTGAGTCCAACCTCCTATACGGTCAACTCCACGTGTAGGGGTTTGCACGCCAAGCCACTGCGCGATGCACGGAACAGGGCCAGGAAGAATGATGAAGCAACGGCCGCTCGAGACGCCAGCTCGCCGTCAGTCTCGATTTGCAACAGCGCTTCTGGCGGCAAGTCATAAGTAAATGTGTGCTTGTTGTTATTCTGTGCACCGGTACCTGTGCTCTGTGATGCTTGTGTCTGTGTGCACGCGACGCTTTTTCTATCAGGAGCTTTGAGTTTCGGTTCTGCACTCGAAAGGTTTCACATGTCCAATCCAAACGAGGCTTCCGGCTTGGCCAAGCTTGCAGCTCAGCAGGCATGGCAGAAAGCAGAGCGACTACTTGAAAATGCGGGCTAGGCCAAGGAAGCGTGGCAGGGAAAGGGTGTGGCGACTCGTCAAGCGAATCTTATTGCGGCACGGCGCTGCGAATCACTCGGGCGTGGCGGAGGTTTGGCATACCTATGTACAACAGAAAAATTCTGCTGACATTTTCGGGCCGGCACATGCCAACCAGCTTTTGGCCATCTAGTGGGTCAAGGACAGTATTGTCAGTGATGTGCTCAAAAACTTCGAGACAACCCACTGCCTTGGCTCAAAAACGCCGATTGCGCGGTGTTCAAAACCCTTCTTTCATGCTGGTCTCAAAACATGGTACTAGCGCCGAAGCAATCGCATTGCTGACGCACGCTGTGGAGCATCTAGCGTGCCGGCATTTTCGATATTCGCTGACGCATTCACTGACGCGCCACTGCCGCGCACCGAACCCCAGCTAACGCAGACGAACAAATCTTAACGTCTATGAGGGGTTTAGAACGCCGCACAATTCACCCCACACAACCCTACACTTGCAGCTGCGCATGCAACAGAAGTGAGCTAGGCAGATGCGTGCCTTCAGGTAAGGGCGAGGGGGGTCCACGGAGCTAGGTTTCGCGACCTCGCCCCTGCACGTCTGGTGTATGTGAGGGGACATACACCGCCATCCCACGTCCTACGAGCCCAGTATTTTCCGAAGTCGGGTAGCGGGCACGACAGTGCACGCAACGAGATTTCCACGAGCCTGGCCTAGCTGTAGTGCTCGGCAAACTCCAGCCAGGTTTTGCTCGCCAAGGCATGTCTGAACCACAGTTGGCAGAGCTTCCGGAAACAGGAAGTGGCCTGGCAGTCATCTTCCAAGCTTCCAGCAAGAGTAAGCAAGCCCTTCTCCTGCCTATGAAACCAGCGCATCGCCCTTCGCATTCTCCTTCGGCCAACAAGTCAACAGGATCCACAGACATCCAGCAGACACGTTTAGAATGCGGCATCTGAAAATTTTGAATACGGCATGTCAACGAAAGCTTTCGAGCCCAGTAACTGACCAACTCGGGACACTTGAGAGGGGACTGCTGCGTGGTCAAGCCGATCAAATCGCCCAGCTTCAAGCCTTAGATCCAGTCATCTCTTTCCTCTCCAAGCTGATGCAATCCCGAAAGCCGAGTGCGACTGAAGCACCATCCTCAACTGCATGCTTCAGCTTGAACCGTATGGCTCCGATGCTAGAAGCCCATACCTCACAAGGCGCAGAAATTTCATGCTGCAAGTACCCAATTACCCATCTACGTTGTTTGCAGGTCTGTCTCGCAAATTTTGAATCCAAGCATCTGTCGTGGCTGCTGCATTGATGTTGTGAGCCGGCTCGTCTGTCACAGGTTCCACTGTAGCTTCCGGTGGCGAAGGGTCGGGGGTTGCGTGCAGCTGGCGCTTGTCAAGCACTTCTGCTGGTCTTTCCCTCGTGGTGCTCTGCGCAGAGCAGGCCACACACAAGCTGTAGTCGCATTCGCGACCTTAAAGTGCTTCGTCAGACTTATACACATCAGGTGGTTTTTGCTTGTGGTAAGAGCCGGGCAATCGAAGACGGTGGACCCGGGCCGAATGTCCTGGGCACGATCCGCTAAGCCGCGAAGCACCAGGCCGGGAGCACCCCTCATCTCGGCCGAGGCACGGCACCACAGCAGTCACACTCGTACTCATCCTCAAAAGGCTCCGAAGGCGGGATGAGGGTAAGTGGAAAAACCCCAAGTTGAAGTCCTTATGTGGGGAAAATTCTCATCCAATCTAATTACCTGTTCCGCTCCCCGTCGGCCGAGGTTCCGTGGCACAGAGTCGCTTCAGCCGGTGGCCCTGCGGACATGCCGCCAATGCCGCCGCCTCGGCGGCCTCCTGCGACTCGCGCTCTGGCGCTCCACCTGACTCCACCTGCGCGCGGAAGTCGTGGATGCCTCGGCCCCACCCTCCATGGAGAATTACCAAAACTCCCATGGGTCGTCCGAGGCACTTTTCAAACGTGCAGCTTTGGACAAGTCCTGGGCAAAAACTGCATGCAGCGGGACTCGGCAAGCCGCAATGCGACCACAGCCCCCTGACTCGCCTGAAGAGCGTGTACTTTGCACCATGCTTTCCTGAGCTGGAGCAGAAGGAACCACAACGCTGCTTCAAGGCAGGCTCGACTGCCCAAGTCTCTGCGGCCAAGAATCCACTGATGCTCAAACGCCTCGCCAGCGTCTCCTGCTTCTTCTCTTCGCTCCTCAGAGATAGGGATGAGCTAAGGAGTCGAGCGATGGAGTCGAGCGAAGGCTTGCAACTGATTATGCTAGGGTTGCTCATGGTTTCATGGGTGCAGAAGGACTTGTCAGCGCAAGCACAAGTTCTGCCTTGCTATGATTACTGCCAGACGAGGGAAGTCGGCTCGGGGTTGTTTTCCTTTCGAACTGCACGGCATACAGCAAGGCTAGAGCGCTGATGGGTGCCTTCAGCCACGACATCACCTCGGCATCTTTCTGCTTATTCGCCTTAGTCTCGGGCGCACGTCTGTCCAGTCAGGCACACAAGCACAGGCATGTCCAAGTCGAGATGCCATGATGTTGTCAGGCAAAGACGATGGGCGCAGCTCTTCTTTGCCGTGCGCGAAGGGGCATGCTTTCCCCTTCTCCTGTGCTGGGAAATCAGCTGGGAACCGTGGCGAGTATTGGCTGGCTTCTCGCCAAGCAAGGGAACCTCTGCCTCTACACACTTCACTGCTTGCAGTTAAGGCTCGCAAAGACCACGTTCGAAAAATCTGCAGAGATCCGTTTTGTAGTTATCCGGCGGCCTTCCCTGCAAAGGGTCTTGCAAAGAACGGAAGGGAAGTCCCAAGGCCCGTTTTCATCAGTGCCTTTCCCTTGCCAGAGCCCTTCGAGTCGTGCCAGCGACTCCCTTTAGCCATGGCCATGATAAGACAGCGGCAAAGCTCTTTGATGCAGAGATGGTCCATATGCAGTGGGTTCTGGAGGCCCCAGATTTGTCCCTCGATGCTGATGATGTCGACGGTTGCTGTCCCCAGGCTATGCTGGCTCATGGCCGAGGCTGCAGCAGCAAGCATGAGGCGTCTATGACTTAAGCTGCGAAGAGGTAGTTCGCACGGAGACTTGCCGAATCACCAAGCAGAACCCCGACTGCTCTGGAAGACTGAGCGCATCACGCCGTCACTTAGGTCAGAGACTCCGGACCTCGACTGGGCACTAGGACCACTAGGAATGTGGCAGCTGTCAGCCGCTGAAAGCCACACGGTGCTCATCAAAGTGCAGCTATGCGGCGACATGCGAGGTCTTCCCTGTGAGGGTGATGAGGCGGGTGCCTGCAAGCCGCGGCTTGGTACGAAGGTGGAGAAGATCAAAGACTTGCGGGACGCACCAGCACGCCGAACGACGAAGATCGCTGTCGGATCAGTGCCTGAATTGCCACAGATCAGCAGAACGGAGCCCTCCAACCCCAGCCCTCGTGGCACTGAGGCAGCAGGCTGAAGACGATGGTACTGGCCTAGGCACGGCATGTCTGATGGGGGACCTATCGGGGGAAGTGCTAATGAGCTGCATTTAGAATGTGGAGGCCTCGAGAGCGGCAGCGGAAAGCGATTCTTCTGCTCCGCAGCCTTCGCCCGGCAATGTTTGGATTGCTTGATCAGAGTTCGTCGGCGCGCCAGCGCAAGTTGAGAAACCACGGCCAGTGTCTTGCAAGATTTGGCGCATGTTCACTCGCCGGGGGCAGCATAGCTTTGGCTGCTGAACAGCAAATCAATCCTCACAGTCCAACTGAAGATCATCTGGCTTGAAGTCGCCTGGACAGCGGGGACTGAAGCTTGTGCCACTGCTCGACAACACGTCACAGGAGCCGACCCCTCTAAGCCGAGTGGCTGATGCCACCTGTCAAGATCCAAGTTGGCCGCAGTTCTTCCAGCCGTCTGGCGTTCTCCGGAAACCTGCAGGAATCCAAAGCAAGGCAAGAAATGCCCGCTACCATCTGCATGCAATTGGTTGGGTCGCAACCGGAACCGAATGCGTGAAACACCTATAGTACTATAGTATGTGTTGTTCGCATGCCATCTTTCCAATGTGAACTTGCTGAAACGAGATGCCAATGCACAGTGTTTGAGCCTCCCTACAAAGTGTGTCATGTTGCTTTGTTGGCGCGACGCTGAAATGAGCTTGGTGGTGAGTATTGACGCTGTTGCTGGCAACCGTCACAACGAAGTCCTCACAAACCCTGGGTATCATAGGCAAGAGAACAAGCAACGGCGTCAGGAGTGTCATGCCCCCATGGGCGACTTCTGACTTGCTTGCATGATAACACGAAGCTCTCCTGTTAGACCGAACACACCGGTATACCCTCACCTCAACTCCACGACGTGAGGGACCAGTGCCAATTCATTGCCGTCCGTGCCTCGGGTCAGGCAGTGCTGCAGTGAGGCAGCCTGCCGCCTGCAGAGCACAGCCAGCCAAGTCTTGCTAGCGGGAACACGACACCGTGTGGACGTGCACGTTTGTGGGGCGGATTTTTGAGACTATCCGACTATCCCCACTGACAACGAAGCACGCCGCGCCTGCCCACCAGCAATACCCAAAGGCGAATCCTCAAACCTGGCATGGGCATGGTTCACTTGGACATATTGGTCGAGAAAAAGCTGAACATGAGACGTGAATCGCAGTGCTTAGTGCCAGGCACGACGCACCTTCGGCTGTCCCTGCCAAGTCTTCGCGCGGCTTCTTCGAAGATGTCGGGCCTGCGTGTAGCAAGGAGCTGCTACTTCGAGGCTTCAGCGGCTTCAGCACAAGACCCTGTTCAGTCGAGCTAAGCTAAGCTAAGCTGAGCTGAGCTAAGCTAAGCTAA